CCCCAAAACCCCAAAAAACCCCAAAACCCCAAAACCCCAAAACCCCAAAACCCCTACGACTTATATAAAAACTGACAAAATGTTATACTAATTAATTAAATATTAAAGTAAAATGTAAGTAGTATTCTCTGAGCTTAGAATTCTACCAGCACTCTTGGGTTGTAGTAGACATTTATTCTAAACCTGATTTCTTATTGTTCCCTCTAGATGCCAAGAATTTCAGCCAAATCTAAAAGACAGTCTGCCTTGAAGAGGTGGAAGACAACCAATGAGAAGGAAATACTAGAGTCTTACTTCGAGTTAGACAATAACTGGGGTAAAAAGACTATCAACTACGTAAAGGACCTCGTAGAACTTAGCGAAGAACAGATTTATAAATGGGGCTATGAGAAGAGGAAAATCTCAACTTCTTGTAAAGATAAAAGATTATCTGCTACTGCACAGATAAGCAAAATTGAGGAAAATTTCCTGAACAAATCTCTTGATTACAACTCGATTGTATCTGATCTATTCCCTGAGAGTGAAGTTGAGAATGAAAAGCTTACTAAAGAGGAGAAAGCTAAATATGATCAACTTAGAGATCAGATTCTGAAGAAATCAGCTGATCTTAAAAACATGAGTGAGCTTGATCAGATCCTCTTAGAAAGATTGCCTGTTCCTAAAATTTCTCTGAATAAAAAGGCCCCATCCTGCAGAAAATCCACCATTGACGAGCATTCTACCTTGAATGAAGGATTCGTGAGAGAGGAAGTGGCAAAAAGGTGCCAGGAAGAGCCCGTTCATTCCTTTTTCGAGTCTCAACTAGAGAACTCTAGAATCTTAAACCAAGGAGAAGAATACCAATTTCCAAAGATCGACTCAAACGAGTATGATTACTTACGAATGGAGGAAAATGTTAATTTTGGAGAGCTTCCTAATGGGATTTTCAATTCCTCCAATATCTTTGGAGATGAGAGCCAGAACAGACTATTCCAACTCTAATTATGACAAGCATCCCTTGTTACTTCATACTAACTTTTATAATAAACTTAAGAACACCTATTTCTTTAAAAATTTGATAAAAAGTGGGAGTATCCAGGGAATCAATAGTTATAAAATTGTGAAGATTCGCTTATTTTCACTGAAATAACCAGCCACATGCTCAGATCCGTTCTGACCACTCGTCCCGACAGATTTTATGAATTCTGGGTAAAAATCCATTCAATGAGAGTTAGAGGTAAACCGGATTGTAGATACCATAGGAAGTTCCTAAATATCAGAAAATATCCATATATTTTGCCTAAATTGTTCTGTTGTAAGATATAATAAGAAAAGTTATACCAGCTGGGCTTAATCGTACATCTGAGTAAAATCTCGCCTAAAAGTTTTATGTAAGCGAGAGGGTAAATCAAGGAAAATGCAGAGACTCAGAAATTCTTAAGCATATTGGAATTAAACTTGATAGACACACGCGTAGAGAAAATTAAAAATTAACGATACAAAGCGAAAAATTATCAGCAGTTCAGCCCTGGCCTTGCTTCTTAAGACATCAGAGAGGACTGTTGTCATCCTCAAAAGTTGCTATAGCCCTTGGAAATATTTCAGATGAGCTGGCAATAGCAGTGAGGTCTGCTCAGCATCTTTTTAAGACATTTTTAATTCGAGATTCTTACTATTAGAGGTTGTACGGTTGAACTATTAAGCGAAAATTACCTACCAAGTTCCAGGAAACCTACCTTATAAAACTAGTTATACAATGAAAATAAGTTCAAAGGAGCTTTCTACAAATTTTTAAAGACTACAAATGAGGAGAGAAGAATTTGTATGCGCCTCGGTTCGGGCTGAAACTCACGAAATTTATTTCTTTTTGAATTGGAAAATATATGAAAAACTATAGTCTTGGGCTTATAAATCCCCATTCATTATTAAGTGAATTAGTAGAACAGTGAAGACTCCTTTCAAAGTTATTCTTGTTATTCCTTCCCTCTTACATCATTAAAAATGGGAGTGAACGATTAGCCTAAAATTACATGTTTTGAAAAATTTCTAAAAATTGATAGCATGATTATTAGCTGCTGCTTTAATAAGCAGGGAAATGAAAAGGGAAGTAAGAGAAATGATAGTGAGCTCCTGAATATTGCCAGGCACACTTTTCGGCAGGTTTAGAGGCATGGTTCAGGACACCTAGCCAACATACTAACTGAGTATATTCATTTAAAATCCATGAAGAAGGATCCCTATTAACAGTATTTGAATCCCAACATTCGTGCTGGACACTGGGGTTTTGGGGTTTTGGGGTTTTGGGGTTTTGGGG